ATTGTCATTTCAAATCATTCTATGCACATTTATTCACAATATACATATGTACAACGAATAAAAAATATAATAATATTAAGTGTTTCGTCAGCAGAAATGAGTAAAAATCAAGCGTCAAGTTCATTACTCAAAGCACCCACAAGCCTTTTCAAACCTACGCAAACATGTGTTTGTGTGTACCCAGCAGCAAAAGGAAAGGTCTTTGGTGGCGAAGAGGTAGAATGGAAACTGTGTCTTTGATGCCTGAAATCACAACTGAAATATAACACAGCGATGCCATAGGAAATGTAAGACATAGTATTCTCCGTTCCAACCACTACTTGGGGGAGTGCTCAGGAGTGTTTTTTTTTTTTGTTATTTCAACCTCACTACCACGCTTACCATGTAAGCGAGCATTTCAGTTACCTACAATTTAATCGCATGCTAGATGATGTGGTTTCGTCTACGGCATATTTTATAATGATACTTAATTGCAGTTGAATTTTGCATATCATACATTCATGTTTACTGAATTAAAATAAAAATTTTATATTAATAATCACATCTGTTATTTTAGGTGTAGTAAAAAAAAGATCCATTATTTTTCCAAAAGATGGCGCACAGCTTTGTGATCAGTTGTTAGAGTTTTCTTTGAGAGCCGTCAAAGATGGCCACTAGCAAAGAGAAAATGCGCTTTATTTTACACTTTTTCTTCGATAAGAGCGAAAACGCGAGCCTAGCGGCTGAAAATGTGCATAGTGTTTTGGGTTCTGTCGAAAATGTCAAAAAATTATGGACATTGTAGAGTCTGACCGTCATGTAAGCACTGTCTGGATTGCCCAAGAACTAAAGATTGTACAGAAAACCGTTTGGAACTATTTGAATAAGGCTGGATATGAAAAGAAGAAACCATTTAATTCTATGCAAAAATAATGGATTTGATTTTACTACACATAATATTTATAATATGCTCATATGCAAAATTTACTGATAGTAAAAATTTCTTCAGTAACAATAAGAGCAAAGATAATAAAAAAAAACGATACAAAATAACTGCCCTTCACCAAGCGCCTGCGCCCAAATGTTTATGTCCGGTTTTTTGCCTTTTTCTGCAACAGCGAGCACATGCGAATAGTTTTTTTTTATGCTTTTTTTAGTGAATTTCTTTTTAAGCGAATAAGTAATGCAGAGCGATTCTCAAAATGCAAAGCCTTACCAATTTCACTAGAGGGTTTTTTTTTTTTTTTTTTTTTTTTGATATGTAACTGCAGTCGCCCCTCGGCGGGAATGTCACACCCTCAGAGTGTATTTCTCATATGAAATAAAGGCTCCTCATATAAAACCATCGACCGTTCAGGGGCGGCTTAATATAAACTGTTGGATCGTCCTATTACCCATTGTAAATATACATATATATGCAAATATATTTATATACATATATAATATATATATAAATATATATATGTCAATGTGAAAAGTATTGTTCGTACATTCATATGTACAGGCATCAGGCATGCTTAGGATTTATATTTAAGTATACATACGTACATATATGTGTGTAAGTTTTCAATAAAATCATAAAATCGAAAGGTGTCTGTGTAATATTTTTTTAAATTTTATTTTATTAAGAAATCTCGTGAATTTGTAAAACTTGCTAATGTCTGCATTGATTGATATTCTCACTATGCCATTATTTTTCTACTATTTCCCAAAAATAACAAAATAGATTGTACAGCTAAAGCTCTCCACTTGACTTAGTTTCACTTTCTTGGAATTTTTTAAAATAATTAATTTTTGTTTACCTTTTCTTATACAAAAAATTTCTAATTGAGATGAAATGCGATTTTCAACGGGCGAAAATGAATCACATTTAAATTTGCATAACGATTGAAAATTACAGTTTTGCATTCTCATAATCTTATAGAGCATAACCCTGTAGGGAAAAGTAGGGAATCAATAACCGCAAATTCTAGTTCACTACTGGCATTTCAAGGAGGAAATAAAAACAGTTCGCTATTTTTTGGAAAATGACTAGTAATAGGAAAAGCAAGAATTTTCATCATCAGGCCATGTTTTGTACTTTTTCAGCAAACTACAGGTTACTTTTATTTCCTAGCATGCCAAACTAATGTGTCAGGTAATCGATGGCTAGGCATTGTCCCTGCCGTACCTGTAAGTAAATTAATGTACCCCTTCTGGGTAGGATTTCAATAATTTTCACTCGGTATGGCATGCTTTTCGTTATGGGCGACTAATATCCGAAAGTTCTCGCGAGGGACCCGATGTTATATCGGAACAACCCGGATTTTCATCCGGCCAACGACTTTTACTCCCGAAATACTTACCAAATTACGCTATGGGGAATATTTCTGCCTCACAACGTAACCACAAATACATGACTTTTTTTCCATTTATTGGTAGTAATTCAATTTACAAAAATTATCTTGTATTTAACTAATATGAAGCTTATAAAAGTACAACATTTTAATTTTTATAGGACAAGGTTTTAAAAATAAATAAAAAAACACCAGTCGTCAACAAGGGGAAATTAATGAAATACAAGCAAACAGATTTCTAGTAAGCAATAGTCTTTTTCCTGCAGGGATATGCATTTAATTTATTGGGTTTAGTGATCTATTATTTGTTTTGAGCTGAGATGTATTTGATGAAAGTAAAAATTTCATAATTCATACATAGATCTCATATATTATATATATTTTTTGTGTTAGCGTTGAATTGTATAGTTCGTGATATTTTTTTCTTTAATTTCTTAAAACTTCAATATGTTGGTTTGTTCATATATATGTGCTTGAGGATGTATTGAAATAATTAAAAAAATTATACTTTCAGTGTTATGATTCGCGATTAAAGCCTTGAAGCCTCACTTTCACAAACAAAGCAATTAAATCTGCCAAAAATCATAACATATTTTTCATTTATGACTTATAAATATTTAGCTAAATATACATATGTATATAGAATGTGCTATTTTTGCCATTAAAAAGTATGTCTTGTTTATATGTCCCCATTGCGACAATGGTTGATAAGCACAAAGGATCAGATGTCATTCCAAAAAAATTAATGAATTTTTGGAATATAAAGAATATGCGAAATGAAATTTTTAGGAAATCATTAACCGACATTGATAGGACTCAAGTTAAGTCATTTTATTGATGGCTTCTATATAATTAGTTTTAAAATAAAATGTAACAAATATGCACATACGTACGTTTAGGTACTTATTTGAAAATATCAACATTTTATTTTAGAAATTTTATCATTCATGCCAATCCCATTCCAATTACCACTTTTTGGCTCGATGTGGTTCGTTAGCTGAAAATTTAGTAAATTAAAAATTAATTGTCAAGATTATAGGAGTAAAAAATGTACCGCTTAAAAATTGTATCATTATTACTTATTATACGGTGAAAGCGTCAACTTTTTTCTGTTTTGTAGTATCTGTTTACCCATTTACATACGAGTACATTTATCACTAGCACATAAGTGGGTTTAATTACGTGTTTTAGTGGAGATTTCAATTTAATCACGTATAAAATAAAATAAATGGGATGAATACTGATAAAGAAGCGCACATAAATATATACTTCGGATTTTGTTATAATAGATTGAGTAATTTTTTTAAATATTTCATACCACATTCGCCCACGTATCAAGGGGAATTTTTCGTCTTATCAACTTGTCATAGGTTAAATAAACATATATTGTATATTATATATATTATCGCAAATGTACAATATTATTATTATTCAAATATAAATAGATGTTTTACCAAATATTTCAATTGTAGCAAATTATCTGCGAATTCAAGGTGTGAAACAAATAATAATGTCACGATAGTGTGTGGGTAGATATGTTTAATCAAAAATGGCATTACTGGCTAATTAATTATTCAACTGAGAAACTTTTGCAAAAACCCACATATGTTGATAAAATTATCTCTAGTGTTTTTTGTCAAAATCGGGTTTTAGGCTGAATACTTAAAAAGTACCAACATTTGGCATGCGAACCTAATTATAAGTACGCACGCTTATATTGATAACGTGGCTCACTGTCCGTTGTAATGCCGCCATACCGTTAGTCACTAATTATTAATACCGCTTTGATTGATTATTCAGTTTATCTGTTCCATGGAAAATACAAGATTTCACAGAAAAATGTAATTCACATTATAACACTTTTTAGATAACATTTATACAATTTTTTGAGATATTTAAGTTACCATATATAGTGAGTTTGGAAAAAAAAACAGAGTTAATGATTCCCTAGAGAGTACAAGAAGTTAGTGAATTATGTATTCTGCTTTAGAAATTCTAAACTCAAAGAACTCTATAAAGGTTCAAACACCTTGCACTTACAATAATTCTGGCGCTAAAATTCCCTCTCGAGTCATTGTCTAATTTTACAAAAAGACAAAACCCAAGATTATTTTGATTATTTTTTCATATGCTTCTTCCTCTTCATTGGCGTAAATATAAGTTGAAACCAGAGGGCTCTCCACCTGATCCTTCCTTCCAGCACTTCCTCTGCTTCCACCGGCGGATACTGCAGCGATTACTTTCAAAGCTGGAATGCTTTCACCCGTTCGGACTACTTGACAGCCGATGTCTCGTGATTCGTTGAACTCATCATTCCATCGTCTGTGGTATTCGCCTTTGCCAATGCGCAAAAGACCATAAATCGTTCGAAAAACTTTTCGTTTGAAGAGGACTTCATTTTTAGCCAGTCCAATATAGCACTTTTCTACATTAGATTTCAAGACTGGCATTATTAGTGATATCAATTATGGATGATGATCCCTATATAAACCAATGTATGTTCGATCTCGAAAATATGACTATCAACCGTGACGTGCTAGCCTAACAATAATTTTTGTTTATATAGTTTTCAATTCAATTTAATGGTTTTTTAAAATATTTCTTTCTTCAAAAAATTTTTATTTAAAAACCGCTCCTTACCCAAAATAATTTTAAATTATATATTTTCTCTTCTGCCTTTTACAGAATGGTCGACTTCAAAGTACAACAACGACGTTTTCGTACCAATGAAAAAACTATCATTAGTACCGTTTACGGTCCCGTAAAGGGTGTCAAACGTAGATCAATCTATGGAGATTCTTACTACAGTTTCGAGAGGATACCCTTTGCGAAGCCACCAATAGGAGAGCTACGCTTTAAAGCGCCGCAACCACCTGAACCATGGATTGAAGTACGGAGTTGTACTTCGCAAGGACCGAAACCATTGCAAAGACACTTCGTTTTCCAAATGACAGATGGCTCTGAAGATTGTCTCTACCTGAATGTGTATACAAAAAATGTAAGCTCATGTATTTCAGAAAGTATTAATTATTCTTATATTAAATGTTTAACATTAATATCTTCTATGCAGCTAAACCCACCAAAACTTTTGCCGGTTATGGTATGGATTTATGGCGGTGGCTTTCAATTTGGTGAGGCTTCACGTGACCTCTATAGTCCGGACTATTTGTTGCGCGAAGATGTTATGGTCATTTCTATAACATATCGTTTGGGACCATTTGGTAATGATTTGTTTTGTGTTTTTTTTTTTTTAATTGTACTTAAGACATATGCAAATTTTATTTGAATTTCTCATTTACAGGTTTTCTCTGCATGGAAGATCCCGCTTTCGATGTGCCAGGCAATGCTGGCCTCAAGGATCAAGTAATGGCTTTACGTTGGGTTAAGGAAAACTGTGAGCGCTTTGGTGGCGATAGCAATAATATCACGATTTTTGGTGACAGTGCTGGTGGGGCCTCGGTACACTATATGATGATCACCGAACAAACACGCGGTCTTTTTCACAAAGCGATTTCCATGTCCGGTAATGCGCTATCACCTTGGGCTGTTACACCGCAACACAATTGGCCATACCGTTTAGCGGTGGCTGCTGGTTATACGGGAGAGGATAATGATAATGAGGTTTTTGAATTTTTGTACAAGGCCAAAGGTGCGGATATAGTGAAGGCCAACGAAGACTTATGTTCCGAAGAGGAGAAACGTGAACGTATTGGTTTCTCTTTCGGTCCGGTTATCGAGCCGTATATAACAGATCATTGCGTGGTGCCGAAAAGGCCAATTGAAATGATGCGCACCGCTTGGAGTAATCAAATACCGATGATAATTGGCGGTGTATCAAATGAGGGGCTATTATTATATTCCGGTGAGTACCATGCACTTCTGCTAACCATGTCTATATGCCTTGTGGCGTCGAAAAATCGTGCTTTCATTTTAATATCGTATTAAATTTTCTATCCAGAAACCAAATCTAATCCGAAACTACTTAATGAGCTGGGAGATTGTCGTTTTGTAGTGCCGCTAGAACTTGGCATGGATCGTGAAAGTGAACTATGCAAGGAGTTCGGCATGCAATTACGTAGAACCTATTATGGTGACAAGGAACCAAGTTTAGAGTGCTTACATGAGTATTTATTGGTAAGTTGCATATTATGAAAGGTTATTCGTTTTTTTTTCCACACTATTGTGATTTATAATGAGCACTTCAATCGACTGCAATGACTGGCCAAACATTTCTCGCGACCAGTCATTCTTAACTCTTCTAAATCTATTTCCTTTCTCTTTTACTTCTCCACAGATGGTATCGCATGAATATTTTTGGTTCCCTATTTATCGCACAGTATTGTCACGTATGACCTATGCTACAGCACCCACCTACATGTATCGGTTTGATTTCGATTCGAAACATTTTAATCACCTGCGCATACTCAGTTGTGGCAAGAAGGTACGTGGCACATGTCACGGCGATGACCTCTCCTATTTGTTTTATAACTCTGTGGCACGTAAACTGAAACATCACACGCGCGAGTACAAATGTATTGAACGGCTTGTGGGTATGTGGACACATTTTGCTGCATATTCCAATCCCAACTATGATCCAGAGAATGCGGATTTGTGGCAACCCCTATCGGATGTGAATGTGGAGAAACGACAATTAAAGTGCCTTAATATATCTGATGATTTGAAGGAGATAGATGTGCCGGAGTTGAAAAAATTATTAGTTTGGGAAAGTTTTTTCCCGCGTGATAGATTAATATGAGCAATTGCTTGACTAAAGTGGGAATCATAAAATGAGGATATGATCTTAATTGAAAAAATCGTTTAGAGCTAGTTTATATGTAGCTGAAAAGAACGTAACTCGAAAGTAGGTATTTGGGAATAAAAACGAAGAACAGTTGCTTGATTAAAAAAAATTTATAGGTTTATATTTAAAATTGCCATAGCTTTAATTTTGTGTAAATTTTATTAACGCTCATAAGGAATTGATTTTTGAAATGTTAGTATACTTTAAAGTAAGCCATTTCTACCAAGTTAAAAGTGGAGAGAGTGTTTTGATTAGGATTACTCAGTTTTCTTAAATTTACGTGTGACAAATGTGTATGTTACGCGGCTTAAATGACAAATAAGGTTAACTAATTATTAATATTATAATGAGACCAAAATAACCGACTCATATAGCGCAACGGTTAACTTGTCATAACACATTGCAGAGCTTAAAGCTCTACATATTTATATGTAAATATTTATATATAATTATATTTGTGACATCTGTGTTTTTTATAACCAAAACGTAAAAGAATATAAACTTAACAAAAAACTAACCGCCGCTTGATGTAAACCACCAATCTTATTGCCATTTATGTATAAAAATGAAAAAAAAAATAATAATTATAACTGTGTTTAAAGAACTCAAACTAAAATGACAAAATAAGTGAATTGTTGTGATTATCTCCTTATTGTAAGCTTAGCTACAGCTAGTAAGCGCAGTGTTCCAATATCAAGAAAACTTCGCAGCATACAGAGCTTATAATACCTGCAGCGTTCCGATCACGGTGAATTTTTTTTTTTTAAAAATGCCAAACACTTTTTGATCCGACTCCTCCAATGCAGAGCCAAATGTCGTAAATTTTGAGAAAATATATTAATATAAAAAATTACTAATAAATAAAATAATACTAGCAAAAATATAAAATATATTTTTAAACTTTAAATATTTACAGGCACTCAAAACAATTTTTTTATTACGAAACATTTATATAATACTTCAAAAGTTCTCAGAGAACTAATAGTTATAGCCATAGATTTAGGTAGGCTTAACAAATAAAAAGAAAATATCATTTTGACAATTTTTTTACATTCGTGATTTAATTGTGTACCTACAGTTACCGCTTCTTAGCAAAAGCTGAAACAAAAAAATTAATAGAAAATTATGCAATAAGCTGTGTAAAGACAAATTTATGGTTACTACATTTTATACTAAATGTTTAGACATTTATTTACATATGTATGTGTGCGCAAGCTAAGCGCAGTAAAGTAAGTACCTAAATATGTATGAATGTTCCAACTGCAGTACCTTTTTATATAAAAAAAAAAACACAGAAAAAATGTGTCAAGTAAATTAAATGTGATTTTTCAACAAGTCAACTGAACTTAAAATAAATCAAATCTACAAAAGCCACAAAAGGAAAATTATAAATATATATAATATTATTGTGAACAAACTAAATTGAGAAACCAAATATGTTTGCTTTTGTCATTTCGGTAAATATAGCGCAAACCTTGTTTCGATTCTGTGCTCAACACCTTCTCCAAAATAAAAAATATTTTTTTCTTACTTATTTGCCAAGTTACCAAGGGCTTTTAAGGCATAATTTAACGCTCAGTATTTTTTTAAATTTACAAATAATATATTTCCAGGCCGAAGGAAAGACAGAATAAGAGGAAAAATAATTTCTTCTGCAAATGAAATTTGCGCGAATTGTAGCACCATTTGTAAGAAAATTAACGAATTTCAAGTGTAATTTTTTTTTTTAATTTATGACAAATTTAAAATTATTAAAAATAAATGGAAAAAAATTTTACACAATCTGTCAGGCTGCATGAGAACAATTTGACCAACAAAATCAAATAGATTAAAGCAAATTTAACTGAAGTTATTTAATAGCACACTAAGGTAGCAAAGAAGTTTATGTATACTTTAAAATATTTTTTATAGTGTTTATTACTAAAATTTAGTCACTAAACAAAACTAGGTTTATTGTGATGCTAAAAAATTGTTTTTTATAAATGAAAGTGTTAAAAATCCATTTTTTTAACAGACAGTCGTCATATTTATTGATCAAAATTTCGAAAATATGTATTAACCGAATGAAAGCTTTTTCGTAAAACTCGAAAAGCTCATTTTCATTTTTATAGAATTTTCCTAATTACTCTCTGATTTAATTTGTATTTTATATTACTTTATTTCTTTATTATATTTATGCTATTTGTTTATTAAATTTCTTATTTCATTAATTTTTTTAATATAAGATTTATTTTTTCAACTTTTCATTAGTTTGCTTTTTTTGTTTGATGTATTTAAGTAAATTTGTTTAAGGAAGTTTTTTATTATTTAATTTTCTTCACGTCTTCATTATTCTTTTTATTTTAATTTAACCATGTTTTTTATTTTATTTAGTTGTGTTTTGATTTAGTTTAATTTAATTATTTATTTTCGTTTTATTCTATTTTGTTTTATTTTATTTTGTTTTATTTCATTATTTGTTGTTTTATTTTATTTCATTTTGCACCATTTTATTTTGTTTTATTTTATTTTATTTTATTTTATTTTATTTTATTTTATTTCATTTTATTTTATTTATTCTATTTTATTTAATATTTTATTATTTTATTTTATGCTATTTAATTTTATTTTATTCTATTTACCTTGATTTTATTAAATTTTTTATCATCTTTTAATTTAGTCTCATTTTATATTAATTTATTTTATTTCATTTTATTTTATTATTTATCTTAATTTAGTTTTATTTTATTTTTTTGTTTTACATTATTTAATTTTATATTTTTTACTTTATGTCATTTATTTGATTTTATTTTATTTAATTTTATTTTAGTTTATTTTAATATATTTCATTTCATTTAATGTTATTTAATTTAATTATTTAATTAAATTTATTTTTTTCTTATGTTATTCTTATTTTATATTAATTTGTTTGTTTTAGAAGTGGACTTGTTCCACTTTCATTTATAACAGTTTATTTATAATACACATATTTTAAAAAAGTTGTAACACATTAAAGAGAATGTAAAGAAGATGTAATAAAGAATGTATTTCAGAAGAAATTGTATTCATATTATTATTTTTAACTTTTGAACGAGTTAATGAATTCATGCCTTAAAGTGTCTCTAATCTTTTGCCAGTGAAGGAATAATAATCTTCTCATGTAAGGTAAGTCAAACTGCTTGCCTTCATTGATAAAATATTAAATACATTATACAAGTAAGTACGCGTATTGGTGAGTATTTAAGTGCATACTTGTTGTTGATGCTTAATAAAAGTAAAGCAAATCAGATTTATAAAGTCTTGTGGTAGTGATAAGAAATGTATCAGCGAACATTTATGTTTACATATATGTACATAAATTACGCACATATTTACTTATAAACATGCGTCTTTATTTTATTGTCTTCAAATATGGCATACCACTTAAACTATATAACTCAAACGCTTAGCATAACCTTCGATAGCTCAGTTGGTAGAGCGGTGGACTGTAGAAAGATAATTGCAATGTAGAAATCCATAGGTCGCTGGTTCAAATCCGGCTCGAAGGAGGCAACTTTTTGTTCAATTTTTTTTAATAAATAAATAATAATTAATAAAGAATATTGCTTGAAAATTTTAAATCTTAAATTTAGTTTGTCACGAAACCTTAAGCATTTCTATTAGTTTCACATTTAACATTAATAACTAAATACTGAGAAAAACATAAAAATCGTTTGTTTGAACTGCTCGAAAATGTTCGAATAAAAGGGCTCTACTATTAGATACCTTTACAGAAAAAATTTTTATAGGCACATTTATTAAAGCTCACCCAATTAAGAGTCTTTATTATGAACTTTAGACGTGATTGACGTCACATGAAACCAGTTAAATGGAGTATTTACATTATTTTTATTTAAATTTTTTTTCTATATCAAGCTAAAAGTGAGAGCTTTAACTGTTAATCTTTTATTTGTTTGTTTTTTTTAAGTGTCAAAAGAAAAAATACAATTAAATAGTTGCACGCTGTTTAAAAAAAGAGTCAATGCCGTCTGTAAATCGCCGTTTTCTTTTGGGGCAACCCAAAACTTTGTAATCGTACATTTATTTATCTCTCATGAAACAAAAAATAATAATAATAAATTTGGTAAGAAATAAAAATTCCCTAACGTTTGTGAGAGCTTAATTTTTTGCAGATATGACTGTTACAAAGCTGATAACAACTTAAAAATTGAAAGAAAATTAAATAAAAATATAATTCATACATACATACATCAAAAAAAATAAAAATAGAAATGAATATATAAATATACATTAAATGCAAAAGGAAAGTAGACAACAGCAACAGCGAAAATTGCACTAGGATGTTGCTTTAGTTTTGGCCAATACTGTATGTATGAATTGGAATAAACTTATTCAAATGCCAATTGAAGTTAAATATATTGTGTGAACATATGTACATATGTATTTACCATTATATTAACATCAGTAACAAATAATAACACATTAGAAATAAATAAATAATTGGCACTTTATCCGCCTAAGCGACTTTCGATATATTGCAAACAATAAAATAATAAATAAACACTTAGATCAGCAACAAAATTGTTTGTTATTACCAAACCGCAATCGCTAAAAAAGTCACCAAACAATTAATCCCACAAGCACAGAAATACCATGAAACGTGAAAAATAATTAATTTTATAATACTACTACGCTTGAATTAAGCTAAAGTGTGGAATTTCGCAAATTTACGCTCAGATAATTTCGATAATTACCTTAAACTATGCAATATTAATTTGTTATATATTTCATTGCTAAAAATAAAAAACAAACAAAAAATTTCATACTGTCAATTAAATATAATCGCTGCTTATTAAATTAGAATCTGCAGATTTTTTTTTATTTAAATTTGAACAAATTTTTTTCGAAAGCAAAACTATCTACTATTTCTACTAGATATATATAGCTGGAATTGCGAGTGAGATTTATTGATATTTTTTCAATGTTTTGAGATTTTTTTCCATTCTATGAAATCTTTTTGTAAACAAAATAAATGCTCTTTATATAATAATTATACATTATAATATTACACTATATTTTTCCGTATTTAATTACATTGTCCTCTCAGATCAAATTTCTCAAAATAGTTTTTTCCAATAAACCAAAATTAATTTAGGAACCGAATCAATATTAGCGCGCCACTCTTCTCTTATTCTCGCTGTTTGGCGCCAGTTGTTGAGGTCTTCCTTTTGCTCTGCTTTAACCAGCGGATACCGCATCAAAAACTTTCAAAGCTGGTTTATTTTTATCCATTCGGATCAGCCACTATTTTTTGATTCACCGTACGTCAATGTCGCCGTATATCTCGTACAGTTTATCATTCCATCGGCTGTGGTATTCGTCGTTGCCTATAAGCAAAGAACGAAAAATCGTTTGCAAAACCTTCTCTCGAAGATTCCAATAAGCGACTCATCAGATATTGATATCGTCCATGCCTCTGCATCAACTAGCAGGAGAGGATAGATAAGCACCTTGTAGAGTTCGGTTTTCGTTTGTCGAGAGAACTTTAATTTTCAATTGTCTATCCAGTCCAAAGTGGCACCTGTTAGCAAAATTGATTCGGCTGACATTGTTGTTGGTGTTAATGTGTGTCTATGCGATATTAAGGAAGCTTTTTCGACGCAGATAACTGAGTGGTTAGCATTGCGTACTGACATTCGGAAGGCTCGGATTCAAATCCCCGTGCGACCAACATCCAAATGTTATAGAAAATTAAGCAAAGTTCTCTAATTGCGGTCGCCCCTCGGCGGGGAATGTCAACCCATCCGAGTGTATTTCTGACATAAAATAAAGGCTTCTCATAAAAAAGCCATCAGCCGTTCGGAGGCGGCTTAGAATAAACTGTAGGTCCCCCATTGGAGGAAGAACTCGGCCGAAAATCGCTTCAGCGGTTACAAAGCGCCCATTATATATGATACGCAGATTGTGGGATCACCCTTTTGACAGTTGTTGAGGAATTTAAAAAGATATGTTAAGCCTCGTTCCACCTTAATTATTGCTATTCTGAATACCCAAATGCAGAAAAATATTACCTTTAACGACGAGGCACATTTCTCACTCGTGGGATATGTAAATAAGCACAACTGTAGCATTTGGGGCTCCAAGTAGCCTGAAGTAATTGGTGCGATCTTTGGTACGGAGGTATGGCTGGACCTAACTTCTTTGAAAGCGTTAACGGCGAGACTGTCGCCGCCAATTCGGACCATTATGATAATGTGATAACCAACTTTTTTGAGAGTTGGAGAGTATTATTTGGATATGTGGTTTCAACAAGAGGTGCCAAAAGCCACACGAGGCGAACAAATATGGCTTTATTGGGTGAAAAATTTCCTGGCCGTGGTGATGCTAATTCGATACTGAGATCGTTTGGACTTTTTTTGCCTGGCTGTTATGGCTGAGATACTGTCCAATACGTGCCAAAAACTGGTCGAAAATTTGGTCAAATGGATTGAAGTTTTTCACAAACCAAGGTTCAAACTTTATACCAAAAAAAGGAATTTCATGAAAAAAAAAATATTTTAAATGCATTTTATTTATGTTCATCATACAAAATAATCATATTAATAATATTATTTTTATTAAAATAATAATTGTGACCGCAGCCTTAACTGTAGAGCACTGAAAGCTTTTAAGCAAGTTCTGCATAATAATATGTTGCCACCTGACATCAATTTAACAGCCACTGAAATGACAACTAAGTCCATAAGCAAAACAAAGATTAAAACCGGCTTGAACAATGAATAAAAGCGAAAAAATTATGAAGTAAACAATAAAAGGAGAAAAGAGAGAAAAAGAGAAAACTAAAGAATGAGATTGAAGAAAGAGAGAAATAGAGAGAGAGAGAGAGAGAGAGACAGAGATCGAAAGCCAAACTAATTTCAGCACTTGAGAGTATGTGAATAGCGAAAAGCGAACGCTCAGCTGTACTGCAAAGTTCAGTAGCAAAAATTGCATGATCGCCACGAAAAGAAACCCCACACAATTAGTGCATATTTAGCGCCTCAATGCCTTCACTCGCCTTTACAACGAATATCTTCAATCAGTCGCAATCCAAGAGTGAATAGAATTGGTTTGTACGTCGCAATCGTTAAACGAAATCGTGTCTAATCTCAAGTGATATTTTGTTATACTATGTACATATGTTATATGTAATGTATATTTATCTTTGGCTTATTACAACGCAAAGGTTTTAAATTATAAATATATCTTTTTATTGGGTTGTTACCACTTTTGTTGTGAACATTTTTGCCAAAAACTCACTGATAATTAAAACATAAACGTGAACAAAGCAACCACTTGACTTCGGTTCGTTACTAGCGTGGCAAATATACGTGCATAAGTGCAACAACAAATTCATCATAACCAGTTTACTAGCGAATTTCCATTTGATTGTGAAGCGCTGGCATACTTACCAACTTTTTGGACAACACCGTTGGCTTGTGGACTCTTTTTTTTTTTTTTGGTAACTTTACTTTGGTGTTTTGTAATAACGTGATTCAGCGTTCTTCGTATATTTGTTGTTTGACGCGTCTGAGTTTACCTTCCGAGAGTGATTTGTTTTTTTTTAACTGTAAATAAACGAGTAGAAGTGTATATATATATATGTAAATATATAAATAATTTAATAAAACTAAATATAATTTAATGCATTAATTTTATAAGTTTTTATAAAAAATACATGAAAAATTAACTAACTAAATTACAAAAACAAAAATAATATCATCGCAAGTTTGCACTTTACATTTGAAGCGTATAAAAGAAGTAACACAAAATGAGTTCACTTTCGTTTATGGATATGTTAAAGCTGACCTTTAAGTAAGTATGCCAGGAATTTTAAATAAAATTTTTAGGTACCTGTTTCATTATTAATACATATCTCAATATATATAATATAATTGTTTATTTTTTAATTTATAGCTTCCTAAAACGCATACACATATACCTACATACACGCAAACACGTAAATAGTTGAATAAAAAAACAACCAACGAAACAAAATACATACGTATTGTAATGAAAATTCATTTGAGTAAATTTATACATGTATATACGAGTATGTACGTATATTTATGTTTACATAAGTGAGTGCGTATGTAGTACAATACATCCGCTCGCAGTTGAAAAATTCGCATAAAGACCGCAAGCAACCGCACTGACATCAAATAGTGGCTGCTGACGACAGGTGGCAAATTACATACAATTTTGTGATTTTGTAATAATTTGTGTTTCGTGTTCGTGTTTAAATGAAAGTTCCTGCGTTTATTTGCTGTTATTATAAAAGGCATTGTTTGTACTAAACAAAAAACGAACTCGGCGCTTCCAGGGCTCCTCAATTGGAACTGATGGATTTTTGGTGTCGATGCTATAAAAATCCAAACCACAATTCATCTATCATTAAAAAAGTTCTTTACATATTAATTTCATTTAACTATTTGCTGATTTTTTTGCTCAAATTCCAATAATAAAAATTAATATCATAAGTCAGAATATATGCCGACGTGCAGAGGATTTTCTTGTACTACTTTATAAAATTTTTCGGCTGGGCTCCTCCTCGAATTTATGGTATTCATCTTGATGTTTTTCCAACAAACGGAGATACCTACTGTATATTCTATGTGGAGATTTCATTTGCTCTCAGATGTGGAGATTTCATTTGCTCTCAGAAACACACTCGGAGAGCTTGAGGTGAGCAATTGGCTCCATTATTCGAGCCACGAATCAAGCTCTAGCCTTCCGTATTTCAGTACGCAATGCTAACCATTCGGATATTGTAAACATAGTATGTGATTCAAATTTAAGTTATCGTATGCAACTATCCATATTTGAAGTGATTCCGAGCACTTATATTAAGTTCATTTTCTACCCGGAATTCCATACAGTTTCTTTCGACAACATTCAGCTATTGGCTACCCCCTCACTGTTGTAGGTCATAACTTTGCAGAGTTACTTCTACCAACAGTTGCTACTTTGGACTGTGTAGACAATGGAAAAGTAAATAGTCGGCCTCGGGAGATATTGAGAGAAAAGTTTTTCGAATGATTTGCGACCGTGAAACTATGAACTGTGCGAAGTAAACGACGACATTGACATTGTTCACTGTTTACGTGGGCAAGATGAAGTTTAAAATTAATTGATGTAGTCAGTATCCGCTAATGGAAGCAGAGGAAGAAGAAGATCTCCACTATGGAGGAAAGTTCCGTTCTAGACGGGCTTGACATGTTGTCTGCAATGAGCGACGAACAGCTAAAAGAAAAAATTGACTTGAGTGCTGTTTAAAACTCAGTTATAATCGCGCAATCGGTGTCACCTTAGGAAGCAGTACAAGTCTATATGTCAGGCGAGATAAAAAACAACTTTTGAAGTAATATTTCTTGATAAAATTTGGTTGTCACATTCCTTGGGTCATATATGGCGTCTTCTTGGTAAAATCGGACGAAATTCACCCCCAACTCTCATATAAAATGTGCAATTACAGCCACATTTAGGGACTTTCACATTAAATGAAAAGGCTCATGAAAAAAGTTTCCAAATGAATTAGGCGTAAGCGGAAATAAATCAGACTTATTTGTATTCACCGCTTGATTCAATCGAAAAAGTAATGGATTCTCCTGTATTAAATAATAATTAGACTTGCATCAAGTTTTCCTTTTTAATAAAGGGAAATTGAATTCAGCTTAAATGTGAAAGTTACCCAACTTTTAGCGAAGGTCAGAACTGTTATATACATACATAGTTGCATTTATTTATCTCAAACGCCCACGTCAATCTGTGACACAACGCGGTGCAAATGTTTTATCGGCTGAAGGCGTTTTCGGTGTAAAGTCCAAAAATGTTTTTTCAGTTCGCATTCCTCGCTTGTTGCTGAGGGTTTATAAACAAAATCAGTAAATTATAGTTATCAACAAGTTAATCTATGAAATAAAGTATCTGATACAAACAAATGTATATGTAAAGGTGAAGCACAAGTATTTGTTAAGTTAAATACATATTAAACGACTAATTTGCTAGAGAAATTAAAAAAGTACGAGTTGGGGATTTAATGCATTGTCACGCTAATGGAAATAAATGTTTTATTGTTAATAATATGCAAATTAAGTTGGCATACCTGTTATCGAAGTAGACGATTAAATTGGTGCAAGTATTACTGACTCAGCATTTCTTGATTGCAATTTTTGTATACTTGTTATCGCGTCGCACAGGATCTTGTAAATGCAATCATATATATGTAACCTATGAAGCGAATTTCGGTCGAACTCCTCCTCAAATTTAAAATAAACTCGGAGAGGTTTACATAGCCTGAGGGTTAACCGCAATTAGTAAATTGAACTGAATATCGTTTATAACATTTAAATAAATTTTATACGATTTTCGATCGTGGACTCGAACTCATGACACGCCGCAAGGTAGAACGTGCTCCTAGCTGTACGGGGGTCGAAGAAAAATAGATAATTCATTACAGCTAAACAAATAAGGCGTAAGATATTTATATTGCCAATTTGTTTCTAAATTCCTTACCTTAAACTTTCGTTCTGTTTGATGTTTGCACGTAAAGCTAACTATTTTCTGTTCTCTGGTTTGGTAAATAAGACTGCAATTAATATTTAAGAATGTGCTGCGCTAATTGATGTATTAAAAATTTTCGGAAAATTTCACGGCCGGGCGTTACTGGAACTTGGGAATGCTACACTGAAATGAAAATTGCGTCGTTTTCTTCAAAGTCTTGTCAGCGTAATATAATAAGTAGAAAGGTGCTTATATATATAATAAGTAAGAGTTACAGCGTATTTGAACTTTGATGTATTCAATGATATTTTCGATGTATCAGATATATAGTGCCAGGTGTGCGGTTCGCCAAATTATTGAAAAGGAAAAGTGGAAATTTTGAAAACTCACTTCCTTATGGGTTAGTCTTCAACCGCATTTACAAAAGAGTATACACCGAATTCGGGCGAAGTAAGTTACTTTTTACACAACTTGTGGATTACTTTTAGCAGCGAGTTTGCCTAACGGTTGATTACAGCTACCGTCCTCAGCCAAGGTGGTCGGAGGAAAATACATATTGTTGATGGACGGTCAGGCCAACAACATAAACTCGACACCTTTCGTAGGAAAGGAACACTTTTTTGAACGAAATCTTGCATAAAGCCCTCGAAATGAATTCTTATCAATAACGGAAGTCTGACGATTATCCGATGTGATTTCGCTTTGTTCAATGGGCAGAAGTTTGCTTTGCGGATTAAGAGAATTTTTACCTAAAAATCATATCTTCCGTTGAAGCCACGACACGACGACTACGTTAACAATGTGAACTGCTGCTCAGAAAATTCACACGTGACAATGGAGAAACCTTTGCATTCTCAATGTATGTATATTTTTGCGACAAGTGAACCTGCAGCATTATTGTCAATTTTTGTCCGAAGGCAAAGCAGAAGCTGCCATTACCATTAATACCGATTCTTACCATGGCAAGCTTAGAGATTATTTGGTCCCAATATAAAGGAGAATGATAGAGACGACGTTTCGAGCACAGTGTACTAAAATCTCGTAATTATACGAAATGTCGGCGTTTGGACTTTTTTTTTGTGCCGAGGCATAAGTGCTACGCGCTCCATCCAGAGGCAACTCATAATTTAAGACATGAAATTGAGGTAGCCATTGCCGCTATAGAGGGCTACATAACTACACAATCGAATCGAATGATGTTGAAAAAATATACATATTTATGAATTTCCTTTTCTAAAAACTCTAAAACGTTAATTTTTCGTTGTCAACACCGTAAAACAATGTTAAAAAAATGGAGGTATTTTTTAAATTAATTAGTCCAAATGGCTGCTAGAAAAAATTTGATAGTATGAATAAGTAATCAATGAAAGATTACGTGCTGAAAGCTATATAAAGTTCAACATTGATTGCATCACACATATAAATGTCATTACATACTTGCAAAAATAATTATCAGTTAAGAATTTTTGTTTAATTTACCTTGTTGGCCTGGTCAGAACTATCACATGAAAAATTATAGAAGAAATAAATATGTTTTTTAACCCAATGTAATTTTTAATTAATTTAAATTTTGTTTAACAGTAAAAGAACACAACTAACCCATAAGAGGCAAAATGTAATGATATCGAAAAGATAACAGAAAACACTTATATAACTTTGACCATACTCACTTACATTATTTTATAAGTATATATATAATATTTAGATATACAATACATATGTATAAAATATATTTTTTTACAAATTTGTACAACTAAAAATAAGCATAAATTCATTCGACCACGAACTGTATCTTCTTCCTCCTCTCCCACTCACCCATTGCTTACAGAAATAACAGTAGAAAGCGTAAAACCGAACTTTGTTTATTCCGTCCATGCAATGTTTCATGGCTTTTATTCGCTTTTGTGAAACTCGCGTTTCATGCCTTGTATCTTTGATATTAATTCATGCGCTCCCTCACCCATTTATATATAGTGTATGTATGTATATATGTCCATCGTAGTACTCAGATATCTTCATATAAATTGTAAATTATTCATAAGTACATTTGCACTCAAACCAAAATAAATGTATGTACATATATATGATTGTATACATATATGTGTATGTAACCATTCATGCCTCAGAACAAATCAAACGGTGATACTATTTTAATTTCCAATTTGGTGCTCTAAATTTCTTCAGCATTTTTTTTTTTGTCACTTTCATCTCCAAAATGAAAAATTTAAAATTTTGTTGAGACCACAAAATGAATAATATCATGTGTTCAAATCCTGGGCAGACCAATTATCAAAAAAAAAAAAAAACTGTTC